ACTGAACCTCAGGTAAAAAATAAAAGAAAAAAATTACATGTCAATGCATCTACAAAACCCAGGTGCCCTGCCGGGGTTCATTCCTCATTCTATTCTTTAACTTCCGATTGATGTGTATCACAGCCGTGGAATGAAACAATCGAGGCGGCAACAAAAGGAAATATTATTGTATCGTTGGGCAATCTCGCAAACCCAGCCGGAATGAAACCGAAGCAGGCTCGGTCAATGTTGAAAGCTTTGTCACGTTTAAGCGATTACCATATTTACTGGTCAGTTGGACCGAAGCTTCGTCTATCAGATATCAACGAGAAAGACGTTCCCAAACATATCAGCCTTATGGCCTATGTACCTCAAAACGATTTACTCGGTTTGTTATCATTACCACTATTACCAACATTGATGGCGCAAATCAAGCAGTCCCGCACTGAGTTCCGGGTTGAGGTGAAGAGAGAGGGGGCATTTTGTGAACTCGCCATAAGATGTTGAATTTGCAGCTCAGAAGAGAACGCGCCTGCTAATAACAAATGGAGGCATAAGCAGTATTTTGGAAGCACTGACCCATGGCGTGCCCATCGTTGGAATACCGTTGTTTGGAGCAAATAAGCACAACCTCAACAAAGTTGTCCATAAGGGATTCGGAGTGCTGGTCGAGAAACATCAGCTTACGGAAGAAACCTTATTCAGTGCTATCAAAGAAATACTTAACAATCCTTGGTGCGTTTTTTGCATCCCTGTACTGCTACTTACAGTACGCTTCTTATCGTATTCGGAACTGAATTTGACGTGTTTCACGTCAATAAAAACACGCTGTTGATTCAGTTGCAGTAAGCAATTACATACGCTCCTCTTTCACGCATTCTGGGAAGAGTTCCACTTATCTACAGGTATGAAAAGCGCGCCAAAAGCATCAAGAAATTATGGCAGCACTCAAAGCGAACACGTCTAGCGGATGCTATTCGGTGGATTGAATATGTTGCAGGGAAGCATGCATCGAAGCTCAGCAAATCAATGGTACCAAACCGGTCTCTAGTACATCTCACAAACATTGATGTTTTTGGCATTTCAGTGCTACTTTTAATATTTCCGTTGTTTTTTTCCTATACAGCCTTTCTGGTAATTCATTTTAAGAGATTACAGTGTGGTAAAAAATGATTTTCAAGACAAATGGAACAGCAAAATATCAGAAAACAAAAAACCCTGGACACGATGAACACTGGAAACACACACGTACATACACACACAGATACACAAACACGCACACGCACATACACAAACATGCACACACACGCACACGCATGCACACACAAACACACACACATTAGGGAAGTTTTATGCAGTAAAGGAAATCCAGTAAAATTTCCACTAGTTGCCCGAGGATTGCGAATGTGAGATGAAATGCAGGAAACTGGCAGGCTATTAGCTCCATTGAAAATATCCGCTTAGAGAGTGGCCCATTTTGGCCCCCAAGCGCTGACGTGGCTTAATTTCGCTCCTGGTTGTTTACAACAGGGGAAATTATGGTACTAGTCGGGTGACGAAAATATGATAGAAACAAGAGTGGTCATGTCTCCAGTACAGGGCGAAGACACGTGAAAATCGATGGAGAAAATTTACAAAAGGGTGCGGTTTGGAATCTCACAAAAACTAAACCTTAGGAAATGTCACGAAGCTCTACCCCTTGCGCAATGTTTCTTTTCATTGCGTGTAATTAACATGCTGCACAGTACAGCACGAAGCCAAGGTTTTTCTGATTAAAAACTTAAGTACCATATTCACAAATTACTCTTGGAACGGAGATAATGGCTTATGCTCGAAAATACTTCATAACAGCAACCAGTAGATGTCCAGCGCTCCCAATGCCGCGAATTCCAGAAGCCAACATGGCTGGCGGAGAGATAGCGCCATCAAATCTTATGCAGAAAAGAGTTTTTGCCCCCGAGCATGCAGGAGGGGATGAGCCTACGAATAAAAGTGGGAAATAAGGAGAGCGAGGCGATCGTACTCCCATGTCCCCCCAAAGCTGTGTAATATTTGCAAAAAAGAAGACTGATTTGGGACATCCCGGAAACGATGGTGCCAGTGCATCACGAGAACGAGAGCAAGCATATACTCGGTAAAAGCCTGCTTCTGCTAATGTGTGTGCGTGTGTGCAGCCGCTACAAGAAAGTGACCAGTAGTGTCTGCACCGCAACAGTCTGGACAACTTTGACCGGTCGAAAAATAAGCCAAAACCTGCTTGAATACATAGGCGGATCCGGGACGGACTCCTAAGGGGCGGGAGGGGAGGGCGACGAGGAGTGGGGGAGAGAGCTCCCTCCCATCCTGAGACTATGCAAAAGCTAGGTAAAGAGTTGTAACACTGCTACTTAGAGTTACTTTAGTTTTATTTATAAACAGACCCCGCGCTTTTGTAGTACTGATGCCTGTGCCGCTTGGGGGACGCCCTTTACCTCCTTTGGGTCTGCCTATTTTTAAATAGTGGCTTAGTAAAAAAGCTGAAACAGGCTTAAATCGAGATCATCTTTGTAGCAGGATGGTTCCCCGCTAAGGTTCTGAACGGAACGTTTAAAGATTGAGTGTAATGCGGTGCGGTTAAGGCATCATTGTGTGGGGGGTTCTCACATAGTGTTTGTTTGGTGACACCATTTAATGGCTTTGAAAAAGAAACTGTACTGCTTCAAAGGCCAAACATTAATAAAACAATTGATCAGTTTTTTTATCAAGCAGAGTACCTCTTCGCACATAGAAGCTGCCCCCCAAACAGTCCTACCAAACATGAGGTATCAATGTGTAGTATACAGAAAACAAATGATATCCAAAAAGCAACGAGAACTTGCTAAGAAATGAATCACATGCGTTGGCACTTTCGCATGCCTAGGTGGTATGAGCCGACAGGAAACAATAATACCAGAATGGGCAACTATCCTCGTTTGTAGACAATCCTACGGCACCGATTCCATCAAATCCACGCACACAAATTGTTCGGATGCAGTAAACGCAGCAATACTGTTAAAATTTGAAAAAAAAAAAAAAAAAAGAAAACGGAAACGGAGTAGCGCCTAGGCGGACGCTATCCTGCTTTTTGAGACTCCTAGCCAGCAGCATGCACAGGTTGCCAATAACATAAGTCGGAACAAGTAAAAGCAATTAGGTCAATTGGTCGTGTTTTTGCCATTACATCCCCACTGCGAACACCACCAACCCCGGGGTCCAAAGAAAACAAGCTAACAAGTCAAAAGAGCAGCCTCGCATTAATTCTGCTCGCCAACATACCAATTTCGCACCTGATCACCGTATAAGCGCACGTACTTTATGGCAATTTGACAACTATCCGATGTTTTGATCAAAACTGTTGTCATTTCACTCAATCCACAGCGGATCCTGACTGTGCCCTATGAATTTTGCTGCGCTCATGAGCCGCTTTTTCGCTAAATACGCCTGCGAATAATTATTAACTAGCCCAGGGCAACCAGATCTCCAACTACAGATTGTATGGTCAATCATTTGAACTGAGTTTGCACTGGTCAATTAGATTCTGCAAGGTCGGCAACCTGTCAGCTGAGAAAGGAGCTCACAAAATTTCAGCTCCAGAGCTAGCAGTCCGTTCGTAATATTTAAAAAAAAAAATTAACCTAATAGTAGGATGGATACCACAAAATGTAGAAATAGTAAAAATAAGATGTAGAAATTGTAAAAATATAGAAATTTGGTGAAACGAGAAGTGGAAGAAGGTGAGAAGAGCGGAGGGAATCCGAACCCGGTGCAGCAATGACGCAGAAATGCAAAATTTGGATAACGCTCTTTTCTATAACAAGGAATCATATTAAGGGCACGTTGCACTACTCATG